ATTGACACAGGCAGTGCATCTCAGTTGTACGAGGGCCAAGAAAATCAAATGTCGGATTCAGCTTCGTGCAGCAAACCTTTGAGCGAGCTCTAGGCTCTTGCTGTGGGCCAGGTTGCACTTGCCTTCCATGCATAACGTCCTCGAAGTCGTGGCTAAGGGGTTCGAAGGACTTCCGTTGTCTCACCCAAGGCCATAATGAAGATTTCAACTGAAGCCAAACGTACAACCCCCAAAAGCGAAGAGAAATCTTGGCAAGCACTTTCTCCTTCCCTAGGATCTCACTGAACTGCTTCTCAAACTGAATGCACGATGGCGGCTGCGACTGGCACAAGACCCATCAACTTGCATCCGTATGCTCATGCTCGAAACAAAAATTCAATGCTGTTCTGCAGATCAGCCTGCGCGGGTGGCTTCAAGCAATGATCCAGCGCCTCAGATGCTGAAAGGACAACAGAACAGATGACCAGATTTTTAGTCGGACTGTCATGCAAGCTGCTTTACAAGGATGCAGCATCATCTTGACCCTTCTGTGTGTTTCAGCTGCGGCGGTTTGTTGTGCTCTGGCTAGGAATTGGGTGGGTCAGCTACAACTAAGGCAATCCAATTTCGAACGATGTCAGTCCAGCAGCTGCCGCGCCCGGCGCTTGAACGCTGGATGCCTCTCCATTCAAAATCACACATGATCGCACGTGACGCAAGATTGTCTTAAGATGCAAAAAAACATGTGCCACCACTCAACCCACGATTCAATTCACAACTGGTATGAGGCATCAAAAATTCACGGTCGCACTGCCAAACACAACATTGTGGGCAACACAGTCTGAGTTCATTCCGGCTCGTCGCAACGTCAGTGGCAGGCAAGCAAGCAACCGCAAAATCGCAGCAATGACGCGATCAAGCACACGAAGCAAAACTGATGGGCCCAGTGGAGACAGTTCGCCATAACGCGGCCGGCACCAGATACTGCTCATCACAAGTGACTGCCATACCTTCCAAAATTCTGAAGTTGAAACGTGAACTAACTTGAAATATCACTGAACGAGCTTGCAAAACCAGTCATGTCTCTACCAGCCGATAACATCGGGAATGCACGAAACAGCGAAGGTGATTAAACGTCTCTGGTAATGGTGCGTTTTCGCAGCCATGTAGCAATAGCAAGCACAAATCTGTCAACTTGGCCCACCAATTGGGCTTTGCGAGCACTCTGGGTTTGTATTTGTACCTTCAGACCACCATACAGTATACGACTAAGCCTAAGCGGAGAACGTGCTTCAGCCAGCATCGGAAGATGGTACACATGAGCAAATGCCAAACTGTCGCAGGCACTATGTTCGGCACACATGAAGACTTGGAACAGCTCATCACTTTTAGGGCCCAAGCGCTGCAACAATCGCGCACTCATGGACACGTGTGAAAACTCACTTCGCTCGTGTTCCGTAGCTTGCAAAACGCCCTGCACTATCTGGGCAAAAACGAGATGTCTTATACTGATTATACTGGTACCGTCTGATATGATAGACAGTTGCTATCGCAATGCCAACACCTGCCGGAGGAAGTCACGTAAAGGTTCCTACCAAAAAGGACAAACCGCTTGATGCTCATCAAACTCCCTCTGCAATCTCGTGGCCGTATCGAGTTGAAAATCATACATTTGGTTGAGGCGGTCATGTTCCTGGTTCAGCTCACGAAGTTCACGAAGCTGCACATCCAAGCTCTCAGTCTCCACCGCCGTGGTCGTGTTGATAGTAGCTGACGATTCATCGTCGGGCTCGTTCTCGCCCCTGTAGGTGAGCCACTGCCATGTCAGCTTGGCAAACTTGATGATGCCATGCTCAGCAGCAATGATGAAGCATGTCAATCAAACTAACCACATCCAGCCATCGTCAGATGTTGCCGTAGTGGTAGCCGAGGATGAGGCCAATGGAGACGATGAGAGGCTCGTAGACGTCGTCATCGTCGTCGTCGTTATAGAAGCGGCCACCATCCAGAAACACCAGGACCTATACATAAGCCATGAAGTTGAGGAGGTCACGAGCCATTTCTGCAGGACATGTCTACAGAAGAACAGGAAGTGGAAGTCTTCTTACATTTGCTGCCAGGGCTGAAGGAGAAGAGGATGAGAGAGCAGAACGAGACAACGGAGGAGGATGCAGGAAGGGAGAGGAAGACGAACAAATCCCATGCGGGCAAGGGCAAGGGAACCTGGCGGAGCGCCAAAAAGAAGGGGGGAGATCCGGAAGCGGGGGGCGGAGACAGACGGCGCAACTCCAATCAGGTGGAAATACAGCAGTTGCTGAAGGGCGTAGCCGCGCTTTGTCTACGGCACGAAGACAGCTTAAGTATTCTTCACCTGGACAAAGGCTTTGTGATGTTTCAGAAAACCAAGTCTCCGGAAAGCCTGCTACAGACCATGTTCAGCATCAGCACTCAGTGGAAGCAGAGCAAGGAAACGGGACAGGTCACCTCTCCGCTAAGGGTAGTCCTCCTCAAGTGCTTCGTCACCGAGCTTCAGGCCAGGTTAGAGAAGGCGGATCAGGACGAGCCAACAAAGGCGGCGGTGATAAAGGCAGGCTGGGCAACTCAGAAAGACACGGAAGGTCTGTGTTGGCCTTACTATCAGTACGATCCTCAAGCCAAGACAGAAACCGTGGACACCAGCAAAGCTCCCATCCCACATGCGAGGGCCATAGATGTGCTGAAGGGTATCCTGGTCTTGATCAGTCCGGAAACGTTGCACAAGTTCCATGCGACAAGACCGCTGGCAGAGCAGTACGAGTCAGAGATGATAAGCTTCTTGATACATGTAGCTCTCAGGGGAGACCTTTCAGAGCAGCTCTATCGTCAGCTTCTTCAGTTGGAGCACAATTCAATCATGTTTTTGATGGGAGCCAGACTGCGGAGAGAGCGAATCCAGCGTTCACCATTGGCGAACCATGTGGCCAGCCTGATGTGAATGGGGTCGGAATCTTAGACCCAAATCTTGCCCGTGTTGGTCTTCAGCGTGTTTGCCACATGGTTTTGCTCAATCCCGACAATCAATGCTATCAAAATACGTTCTTGATGGGTCTGCTTTGGTCAAAATTTGGGTGCAAGGTGATGATGCCTCCCGTGATGCGTGCTGCTCAGGCGCTCTTCTTGGCAGGATTGTTGCATTTTGTAACAAACTTGTACACCTCAATCGGCCGACCAGATTGATGGCACATATTGAGTGGACTTCGCTGCTCACTGATTGGAGGCGCCCATTACAACAGCATGACATAGCGGAGTTTGCGACTCATATTTTCCAGAAACTAAGGATGCCGGCATTCCAAGGTACATGGCATGCAAGAGCCTTGGACGGGGAGGTCAGGGATATTGGGGACACAAATAGCCCAATTGTGATGCAGGTGGATGGATGTACTACCCTGCAATCGTGTATTAGCTGCTGGAGTGGACAGCCATTATGCCATGCACTTACTGCAGCGCCAAG